CAAAAAAGATTGAAAATCCAATTTGAAAAACTATCAACAACACTAACACGTAATACACATACAAAACAAAACGAAACAATACAACACTTAACAAACATATTGTCAAAACTATCAAAGGACGCAGCGAGAAATCGGAATTAATATAAGACTGCTATTAAGTATTGGTGCGCTCGCTTTACGACTCATTTTCTCCATTTTTTGATCTAAGTTTCTTAATCGCGCTTGAAATCTTGGAGGATGAGTACTTTACTCAAGGTTCCGAAAATTTGAAGAAAATCTGTGAGAGCATTTTCGAGAAATTTGGCCTTGAAGTTTTGAAGCATAGAAATTTGGCAAAAATAAAGCATTTCAGGAACGTCGTGGAAAAGTAGTTCACTTGAATCTTTTGATTTCCTGATTTTATTGAAGCTGCTGGTACATTCCTAGCTTTGGAGTAATGGGAAAAAATTGGGTAGAAATCGTAGCATTTGATATTATCAAACTCATGAATAATTCATGAGGAACACAACAGAAATCACGACCGTGAAGAGTGTTGTGAATCTGATACAAAACTGTGTTCATTTGCATAAACTTTAAGTTGGATTTTCTTGGCCAGATTCACTTTAATTTTGAAAATTTTAGTGAAACACAAAGGAACTAACCTAGACGTTTAATACGTCATATACAGTATTTGTGACCGTGTTGTATAACAGATATACAATCACTCGGCTACGCCTCGTGGTTGTATATCTGATACAACACGGCCACTCATACTGTATATATTACTTACACTGATATTGGGTCAACTAAAGTTCGATGGGAGCCGTATTTTTGGACATTATGATAACTAACATGTTCATAAATTCATTAATAAAGTTTCTCAACGTTTACTGCAATATGTTGACATATAATGTCAAAGTTTTATTTTCATTGAAACATTTTAAGTATTTTAATCTCGAGCCTGAAATGAGGACAGTTTGGGGCGGTAAGTAATATATACAGTACGAGTGGCCGTGTTGTATCAGATATACAACCACGAGGCGTAGCCGAGTGATTGTATATCTGTTATACAACACGGACACGAATACTGTATATGACTTATCAAACGTCTAGGTTAGTTCCTTTGTGTTTCAGTAAAATTTTCAAAATTAAAGTGAATCTGGCCAAGAAAATCCAACTTAAAGTTTATGCAAATGAGCACAATTTTGTATCAGATTTGCAACACTCTTCACGGTCGTGATTTCTGTTGTGTTTTCCTCATGAAGTATTAATGWGTTTGACAACGCTAATTAGACCAAACCTCGAGTTTCAATATATAACGCGAACGAGCGATTCCGCTCTCTCCTTCGCGATATCAGACATATCATATAGTGGAAAACGAGAGAGTAATAGGGATATCAGGCTCTTAACATGAAATAAGTTTTTTATTACACATTTAGGGTCGATAAAATGACAAAACTTTCAACAATTTCCAGTTTACCGTGAAGTGATACCGTATCACGTCACTGATATCATGGTATTTATTTACGTGTGTCTAGATGGCCGGCAGCCGCCCTGGGTCTTCAAATTACTAAATGGCCGGCAGTTCATAATTTTCTCTGATTGTGTCACCGGCAAAGAAGTTGTTCTACTAGTGTGTACGGAGGAGGGCAAAGCTGCAATCTAAAATCTAGTGGGTGAAGTGCAAGCGCTTGCTACTTCTAAATCATCATTTTGTAGTTTGAATTCCGTAGCAATAGCATTTACTCGAGAAATCAGAGAAAATTATGAACTGCCGGCCAATTTAGTAATTTGAAGACCCTCGCCGGCTGCCGGCCATCTAGACACAGCATATTACGGCTTTATCACACGGACATCGACCATAAAAGTGCAATAAAACATACTAGTCAACGTGTAATAGTCCTATAATAGACACAAACGAAAACAATGGAATTAGGGTCTACTAATGTGTACTAGTCTAATATCTATTGCACGGGTTTAGTGACTTCACTCTAGTCAAATAGACACGAAAGAAAGCAATGGAACTAGGGCCTTTTAATGTGTATTTATAGTCTAAAATCTATTGCACGGGTTTAGTGACTTCACTCTAGTCAATAGACACGAAAGAAGACAATGGAATTAGGGTCTACTAATGTGTATTAATCTAATATCTATTGCACGGGTTTAGTGACTTCACTCTAG